AGCAGTGTTCATTTCAGAGTTGGAGATATAGATCAAACCGGTATAATGACATTTTAAAACAACGTTGTTAGTCTATTTGCTCTCTCTATGTACAAAGACACGTATAACTGTTAATATGTAAGAACCAGCCATATAAGAGTTTAGTATAGTATGAACAATGACTTTTTTCAAGCAATATTGATGACCAGGAAGAAGAGAAGTAAATCTAAAGAGTTACACACTACTCTTGTTTTGAAGAACAATTTTAAAATAAGACAGATAAAACATCTAAAAAATTAAATTACTAATAAGAAAATATCCTATAAAATGTTACTGATGCTATTGCTGTACACCTGCACACCATAGATTATATGTGTGTGTAAAGAGTACTGTTTAAATCTGGAAAACTATCCCACTGTGCAAGCTATCACATCATTTCCTCATTGAACTAGGCCATCTCAGTCTCTGATTGGAAGTCCAGACACATGATCCCTTGCCAGAAAAGTTTATTTGAGTGACTTTCCAGTCTTCTCTCCCTCTTTAAAAACAACAGAAACACTGAGAAAAATAGATTAGGCCAATTCATGGTGCTGCTGGCTGGTGTGAAATAATCGTTTTTTTCCAATTAAAGGACTTCTCCAACTTACTAACTTGTTCCAGGCTCTCAGCTCCCTTTTGGTTATAACTGCTAAATGCATAGTGAATAATTTGCTTTTTAAAACTCCTAGCAACTGTCCCTTTTATTTGATTATGCACAAAACATCTTGGCTGCAAAGAAATTCAATTTTAACAGAATACATTTTTTCCTACATGCTTTAACATCTAACAGATCATAAGGTTTTTATGCAGAGCTATGAAGTAGGTTCACCAGAGAGTGCCTGATCAAGATTAGGTGGTTCAGAAATACGCAATCTCCAATCTCCCCCCTACCCCCAAGCTATAAAAATTCATACAAATTCAGGGTCTATCTCTTTTAATGGCCCCAAGCATAAATGAATCACTGTAAGAACTCATAGAGTACTTTGTGGTGAACCTCTCCCTCTCTGTAAGGTGACTGAAACTCCTTGGAATTCCTGAGAGCCTTCTAAAGTAGCTTCTCTTCTTCCAGCCATGGTCTTCTCGCCAGTGTCTTTTCTCCTGGCATTGGGCTGATACACTGAAGAGTTTATTTTTCTCCACAAACAGGTGTTTCTCTCTTTCTACACACACACACACCACATACTTGGAATCAAATCATCTGATTTCTAGAAGTTGAGTGCAAGTTTTATGATCTTCTTAATAGATTCATTCAACTAACATTTTTTGAATGCCAGTCACGTGTCAGAAACCGTATTAGGTCTTGGAAATACAGGGGAAGATAAGAAATGACCCTCATTTTTACTGGTTTAGAAAGAGGATTTCAGGTTTCTCCACGGCTTGACTATGGCAGCAGGTTTGACCATGGGATGGGGGTGGGGGAAGTGGGAAAGCAGTGCACAATATTTTCAGTCATACTTCTTTGCTTGGGGAAGCAGGACTCTACTACCCTTTCATACAATTTACTATCTCCTTTCTCTTTTTTTTTTTTAATCACTTTGCTTCTACTTAGAAACCGTTTCTATCTCCTTTTCATCTTAAATTCCAGATTAAACGTTACCACTTTGTAGTTTTCCTTGACACCTTCAGTTATTTAATTGTCCCCTTGTTATATACCTGTCTTAGCATATTGCATTATAGTACATGAGCTAATATATGAGAAGAGCTTTAAAGTTGCCTGGCTTATAGTAAGCTCCCAATAGGTATATATTTGAGACAGAAAAAGAGAGACAGGGAAATTTATGTATTTATCACTTTGCCTAAACTCTAGAGTTATGCAAGAAAAGGCAGTATTTTTTCATATTTGTATCACCACTTCTAGATGTTGTCTAGCAAAGTATACCTGTTTGTTGAATTGATTCGTTTGAAAATTAGAGGAAAAAAACAGGTTTTAATATATATATTACCTTAAATAAGCCTGTGGTATATTTCACCTTCTTGTTTGTAAGGCAGAAATATACCCAGAATAACTATATTTTCTTTATCATCATTCCTCAAGAATATTTAGCTGGAGAACTTTTAAAATAATGTTGTCACAAAATGGCTACTAAATATAGATGCTTGTCTGTTGCAAATGAAAGATAATAAAAAAAGTAATAACCTCTAAGGAAAACCTTCATCTACAAAGCCTTGCCATGTACACACTAGAGCATTTTAAGAATGTGCTCTGACTGTGGTTAGAGAAATAGTGATCTGTACATTTAAATATGTCATTATTATTTAACAGATAGGAAAAATGCCAGTGATAGTGATTACTAGTAAATAAGACTTTTTATTAGCTTATTTAAAAAGATGGTTTTCAAATGCAAATAAATGCACAGTAGCTATTCATGGAGATAGCAGCAAGATTTAAAAAGCAGTGAAATGTTTAAGGTGTTGATTGTTTTATAACAAATCAGGATTAATATTTGAAGAATTGTATACCATATGCCTGCTTCAGCATTTGGTATGTCTTCTTACCCTGGTCTTTGTGAACATAGTCATTATTTCATATAATATTTCATAAATATTTATATATTTTCAAAGATAGTTTTTTAAAAAATCTCATTCTTTAAATGAAATGCTGAGAGCTCATTTAAAAAAAAAAGCACACCATGACAGCTGGGAAAAATTACAAAGTATTGCTATAGAGATACTCTATAAGGCATGTTGAATATTCTGATTTATACTTACACACCCTTACTACTATTACCACACTGCCGCTACTAACTATGACTACTAATTACAATCATGATGATAATGATAACTCCTTTTATTTGTATAGCCTTTTCCACACTACAAACCTTTCACTTCTGTATTTTTGATCCCCACAATCGTGCCAATGATGGAATTTTTCCTAAGGAAAAAATTCAAAGGAGAGAAAACATATGCCGGAAGATATACATCCCTGTGTTATATATAATGATGAAAAAATCAAAATATAAATGCCAGAATAGTTCAATAAATATGGTCAATCCATATGCTACAAGGTAAAAAATACAATGCAAGGTCAAAAAGGAAGATGTTTGTGTTATTCTGTTAGGTGAAAACAAGAAGAATGTAGAATTATATTTGTACTATCATTACAACTAAAAAAATGTGTGTGTATTTGGACAAAGTCTCAATGGTAACATGGACAAATATAGTTTGTTATGATGGCACAGCCTAACAGTATATTGTTTGAATTATTTTAGATTTTCAATGACACTCCACTTGTTCATCTTGTCATATAGGTTTCAATTTAAAAATGAATGCATATTTTTATAATATTAACAAAATATTTGTGAAAAGCATATATTACATAAAAGAATGCATCTCTTTGGAGGAAGACCTTTCATGAAAAATGATTGTTGTTAATTGCCATTGTGTGAATTCCAACTAATGGTGACCCCATGTGTGCAGAGTAGAACTGCTCTATAGGGTTTTCAAGGCTGTGATCTTTCAGAAGCAGATCGCCAGGCATGTCTTCCAAGGCACCACCTTGAACCACCAACCTTTCAGCTAGTAGTTGGGCAACTAACCATTTGTGCCACCAGGGATGTCTTTTTAACAGAATGTGATTCTTATCTCACCCCCCCACATTGTGCATCTGAATCCCCGAGGGAGATTCTAAAGAATACTGCTGCTAATGCTGAACCCCGAGATGAGTTTCAACTGGTCTGGGGTAGAGTTCAGGCATTAGTATTTTTTAAAAGTTCTCCAGGTAATTCTGTTGTGCAGCTTGGGTTGAGAACCACTAAAACCACTGTAATAAACAATTGACATTTCTATATTTTCAAATATTCCCTGAATTTTCATTTCTAGCATAAGAGTTTTAAGAATATAGGCTTTATAATAAAACTTCACTAATTTGGAAGAAGACTGGTATGATTTAAGGAATCATGAGTATAAATTATCTTTATACTATCAGAGTGACAAAGATTTTAAAATAATGATAAAATATAGTATTGGTAAGAGAAATGAGCACTCTCATGCACTGCTTCTAGGAATATAAATTGAACGTATATTGATCAACTTTACTGGAGGCAGTTTGACAATGTATCCAAAGCTTTTAATATATGTAAGCCTTTTGTCCCTGGAATTCCGCTTTTAAGAATTTATCCTCAGAAAATAATCGGGCAAACTGGCAAAGATATTGTAATAAAAATATTTATCATGGTGTTGCTTACAATAGTAAAGATTGGAAGCAATCAAAATATCCACAGCTGCCAGTTGATTAAATTATGTCATATCCATACATGATGCTAGTAAAATGGTTCTGCAGTTATTATGAGTTAACATAGAAAGATATTCACAATATGTTGATAAATGAAAAAGTTACAAACCAGCGTTTATAGCATAATTCCATTTTTGTTTACAAAATGTGTATAAATTTGCAAGATGTGTATATATGTCTGCATATGCATATCTATGGAAAAAGCACAGAAAGCTATACATCAAAATATTAGTAGTTGTTATCTGCACAGATACTTTTTTTAATTATACTTTTATTCATGTTATAGTTTTGTTTTTGATTGTTTTTGTTTTGTTTTTTTTTTTTCACTAAGAGCAAGTACTAGTTTTATAAAGACCAAAAACTTTTTTAAAAAATGAAAAAAAGCAAATTATTTTGAAAAATGAAGCCTTGTTAGTTTTATCAATACCAATTTGAATGAACAAAAACATAGATTCCCCATCTTCACCCTGTCTGGCTGTGAGAAACAAGCTAGTGGATAAGTAGCAACAGTTATCTTTTAAAATGCCAAAGTTCTTAAATATTTTTTATTTTCAAAGTAGGTTAGAAAGTATAAAGTGAAACTTTTCCCATTAACAGATGTCAAATCATCTCAGATTACAATTGACCTAGTTAAAATTGGTGAAGGTGCCATGTAACTAATTAATTGAAATAGGTCTCAATTCATTTGTATAAGGTGGTCTTCCTTAATATCCATAATTAATAAGTGTGGTTTTTTGTTGTTGTTTTTTAGGCTGTTCAGGACCATCATCCTCCATAGCCATAGCTGGCACCAATCATCCTGCCATCACAAAGACAACATCTGTTCTTCAAGATGGCGTCATAGTCACCACCGCAGCTGGAAACTCGCTGCAGAGTCAGCTACCCATTGGGAGTGATTTTCCTTTTGTTGGCCAGGAGCACGCACTTCATTTTCCATCCAACAGCACGTCCAACAACCATCTTCCACACCCCTTGAACCCCAGCCTCCTCAATTCTCTACCTATCTCTTTGCCAGTGAATCAACAGCATCTCTTAAACCAGAATCTATTAAATATCCTCCAGCCTTCAGCAGGAGAAGGCAAGTCTGAGATCAACCTCCACCCTTTAGGTTTTCTCAACCCGAATGTAAACGCTGCTTTAGCTTTTCTCTCCGGTGACATGGATGGGCAGGTATTACAACCTGTTCACTTTCAGCTCTTAGCAGCCCTGCTTCAGAACCAAGCCCAAGCAGCTGCCATGCTTCCCCTGCCATCTTTCAATCTGACCATCTCAGATCTTTTGCAACAGCAAAATACCCCTTTACCCTCATTAACACAGATGACAGCCCCACCAGACCATTTGCCAAGCAATCAGTCAGAGAACAGCCGAGCTGAGACCCTTTTAACCAGCCCCCTGGGGAATCCTTTACCAGTCTTTGCAGGCAGTGACACTACTTTTAACCCCCTGTTCCTCCCAGCTGTCACTGGGGCCTCAGGATTAATGGCCTTGAATCCCCAGCTGTTGGGAGGTGTCCTGAACTCGGCATCGGCCAACACGGCTAATCATCCAGAGGTTTCCATAGCAACCTCCTCCCAGGCAACCACTACCACAACCACTACATCATCAGCAGTGGCAGCACTGACTGTCTCAACACTTGGTGGGACAGCAGTGGTGTCAATGGCAGAAACATTGCTGAATATATCTAATAATGCTGGGAATACACCTGGTCCAGCTAAACTCAACAGTAACTCTGTGGTGCCACAGCTACTTAACCCTCTACTGGGGACAGGTCTGCTTGGTAAGTTAAATATTTTCACAAATTTTTACAAAAGAAAAGTTTTTCTAATTCTATTTTCTCCTTTTTAAAAACTCCATTTTGTCACACTTTTTAAAAATGTTTTTGTTATGTCACAGCTTGCTTAAGGAACTAAATATAATAATACCCACACACATTCATAACTGTACAAACATGAGGATGACTTTTTCCTTTTCCCCTATTCCAGCAGTACTAAATATCATTCTAATCTGCTTTCTCTTACCTTCTAATTCTGATGCCACCTAAACCTAACCTACCCATCATTCTCTTAAGCCAAGTAGAGTCTTATTTTTCAAATAATAAAGTTCAGGCACATCTAAAAAATAACTGATGTGAATTTTAGTTGGTGTGGCATCACAGGGTTAGTATGAGCAGCTGCATTGTGGATGGGAACAGTCTGAGGAAGTATTTTCCAGGTGAACCCTAAATAAACAAAACTAAGTGCTTATTCAGCAAGATGAGCAGCAAGGCATAAAAACACTCAAAGCTTGACCAAGTTCAAGAAAACAGCCCCAGTAGCTACTGCTAGAAGATTTCCTCAGATAGCATTATTCTTTAGAACTTTGTGACTTAAAAACAAAGTCATTCATGCAACTATCACAAAAAAGTTAGAAAGTCATGTCAAGCCTACTCAGCTGACTGATGCAGGTAATCATATATATAAAATGCATTACGGGGATAGTGTCCTTAAAGGCTGGAAACTTGTCAAGGGCATCTTCAATATATTAAAATTTAAAGTAATATTTATGTTTCCTGACTTTATGGACACCTTCATAATATAGTATAATTGCATCTAGTTGGCGTTGAAATCAATGAATTAAATCTAAAAACCATTCCATGTCTACAAATTTGAAGTTTCAGGAAAGTTTCTATGACATTATCCTCAAGATAATTT